CAAATTCATTTAACTTAATGTACTTTAAAAACAAAATTTTAAGCAGACATTGAATATACCATTAATAAAATGACCGCATCATAACAGAGTACGTTATATACGAATGAGACACCAATAATAACAAACAGATTGATTATGTCATCAAAAAAAGGTAAATTTAATGACAATTTAATGCAATTAAGTGTGTAATGCAAATGAGCATGGTCATTCATTGGATATATCACACCATTTAGGTTACTCCCAGTCGGGGGGCTATAGAAGAGACGGCGGCGGCGGTGGAGGCCGTGGCGGAGGCGATAAATGTTTCAATTGCAACAAAACGGGTCATATGAGCCGCGAGTGTCCCGAACCGGACAGACGCCGCACTGGAGGACGAGGCGGTGGTGGCGGTACTGGTGGTGACCGGCGGCCAATTACCTGTTTTAAATGCGGTGAATCGGGTCACATGGCTAATAACTGTCAACAACGATCCAGTGGTGGTCGTGACGGTGACCGCAGCGCCGGGCGTAGTGCTGGTGGCGGTGACTATCGTAGGCCCGAGTCGTCCACTAGTGGTCGGCCATCGCAACCCGCGCAACAACAGCAACGACCAGCTATACGTAGAGGTAGTTATAGACGCAGTGGTTCTCATATTGATGCAGATTCTGGTCGTTTGCCCGCAAAGAGGGCCAATCACTCAGGCATGAGATGACACACTCGAGAGACTAACTCTAAACATACGTAGACCACCATCTAATCCATCGCTCACACCATCTAATACTAATCTAGTTCATTTATACTTAACGCCCAACACACTGATCCATATGTCCACCTCTAACCCGCATATGTTTTCTCCATAACAGAAACCCCTTATATACCCGATGAGAGGCCGAGCAGAGCGAGCGCACAGTTTGTCCGCCGCCCCGACACCGGCACTAAAGGCATGCGAATTGAATTAATTGCAAACCATTTCCGGCTATTGATTAAAGATATAGTGGTAAACCACTATCACGTGGAGTTTGAATGCGGCGCCCGAACACTGGGTCAGGCGGTCGCGTCCGGTGGAGGCGATGCCGGAGCCGATCGCGAGTCCAAGAATAAAGTTCGCAAATTGCGGCAAAAGGAAAATCGGCAGGTGTTCCGGGAGTTTATGTCTAATCAGCCGCAGCTGTTCCGCGACCCGCAAACTGGCGACCAATTGCTGCCCGTATTTGATGGCAACTCTAACTTCTACACCAAAGGCCGTCTGTCTCAGGACGAGAACACCTGTACTATTCAAGTGGCGATCGACGGCTCCAATCCGGTCAACGTTAAAGTGACCATCAAATTCACGCAACCTATAGATTTGAGCTCTATTAACCTCTACTATGACGGCCAGTCTGATACAGTGCCCCGCGAAGCCATGCAAGCACTCGATATTATCTTGAGGTTTGATTCTCTCTCTCTCTCTCGTGAAGAAGTTGAAGAAGAAGAAGGGAGCGGTGGAAGAGCTGGAACGGGCGCTCAGCCAACCCGGACAGCAGTCTAAGTGCGTGAC